GGCTGGGGATGTGGCTTAGTAGTCAAGTGCCCCTGATTTCAATCCCTGGTACCAAAACAACAACAACAAMAAAAATCCTACTATAAGATTTACTTACTTTTAGAATTSGTTTTAATATATTTTAATGCAACAAATCTTGCAAAATGATACATCAGATGAATAAACTTAGGACCACCAGGAGACAGAAACAGTGAACCAACAACTTGAGGAAAGCTATTTCCACATTCAGCCTATGAAGAAAAGAGACAAGATGAGTTGAAAACCTTGTCAACAATAATTCTCATATYTACATCAAGTATTTTTTTAAAGAGTGACAAACTTGAAAGAAGCTGTATATCAGGAGCACTTTACTTTAAGGGAAAGCTCAACCATCAGTACTAATCATTAGCAACCCCTTCATGTAGCATAAGGCTTGAATAAATTCAAGTCCATTGCAAAGTGGAAAATGGGCAGAGAGGGCCAATCACCACCCCAACCCACTCCCTCCTCACATCATACTATTTTTGAAGCATAAAAAAATTTACCAGGATTATTCTGTTTGAACCACATATTGTTTGGTTTTTCTAAACTCGACATGTATTTGGTCAAAAAGATAATTATAATTAAATAAGCTCTAACCATTGATGCTATTTAAAGAAACATACTGAAATAATCTTGGCCAAAAAATATTTTATGTAGGGGCTAGGTTGTAGCTCACAGTACAACACTTGCCTAGCACAAGTGAGGCACTGGGTTCAATCCTCAATAAAAAAATAAATACATAAAATAAAGGTATTTGTCCATCTACAACTAGAAACATTAAATAAATCAATCTCAATATCTATCTCTCTCTCTCTCTCTCTCTCTCTCTCTCCAGGCATAGTGATGCACACCTATAATCCTAGTGACTCAGGAGGCCAAGGCAGGAGGATCTTAAGTCCGAGGTCAGCCATGGGAATTTAGTAAGACCCTATCTCAAAATAAAAAAATAAAAAGAACTAGAAGCCAGAAGCAGTCATGCACATGTGTAATCCCAGCAGCTTGGAAGGCTAAGG